ATCTGCCAACATCTAGAAACAAGTAAAGTAATAACAAGCAGTCAGCACGGGTTTGTTAAGAACAGATCATGCCAAACCAATCTTATTTCATTCTTCAACACTGACTAAATTACTAGACCAGCAAAATACTGTGGACATAATATATTTAGATTTCAGCAAGGCATTCGACAAAGTAGATCACAACCTACTTCTTAGTAAGCTAGAAAAACGTGGAATAGATAGCACCACCACGAGATGGACTTGCAACTGGCTGGCAAACCATACTCAACGAGTAGTCCTTAATGGGTCTAAGTCTACATGGAGGGAAGTAAGCAGTGGGGTGCCACAAGGTTCCGTCTTAGGCCAAGTACTCTTCAATATCTTCATTAATAACTTAGATGAGGGAATAGAAGGAGAATTTACCAAATTTGCAGATGATACTAAGCTGGCAGGAATAGCTAACACCCAAGAACATAGGCTCAAGATCCAGATGGATCTTGACAGACTAGAACACTGGGCTGTATCTAACAAAATGAAATTCAATGTAGAGAAAAGTAAAATCCTACACTTAGGCAAGAAAAACCAAAAGTACACATATAGACTGGGTGAAACCAGGCTCAACAGCAGTAACTGTGAGAGGGATCTTGGAGTCTTAGTGGATAACCAGCTAAATATGGGCCAGCAGTATGCAGCAGCAGCCAAAAAAGCTAATGCAATCCTAAGTTGTATTAACAGAGGGATATAATCAAGATCAAGGGAAGTACTAATACCACTCTATAAAGCCTTAGTAAGACCACACCTAGAATACTGCATCCAGTTTTGTTCACCGCATTATAAAAAAGATGTTGAGACTCTAGGAAAAGTACAGAGAAGAGCAACCAGGATGATTAGGGGACTGGAGGCTAAAATATACAGTGAACGGTTGCAGGAACTGGGCTTGGCTAGTCTAGTAAAGAGAAGGACCAGGGGAGACATTATAGCGGTCTTCCAATATTTGAGGGGCTGCCACAGGGAGGAAGGGGTCAAGCTATTTTCTAAAGTGCCTGTAGGCCAGACAAGGAATAATGGATAGAAACTGAACAAGGAGAGATTTAACCGGGAAATAAGGAGAAACTTTCTGACAGTGAGAACAATCAACCAATGGAACACCTTGACCTCGGAAGTTGTGGGAGCGCCATCACTTGGGGCTTTCAAGAAGAGATTGGACTGCCATTTGTCAGAAATGGTGTAGGGTCTCCCGCTTGGGTGGGGAGGGTTGGACTAGATAACTTACAAGATCCCTTCCAACTCTGATTATTTGTTATCTGTTAAGATGTGTTGTTAAATGAATCTGAATCTCTCCATTGACATTGGTTGATAAAAGCTGGCAGGAAAGGTTGCAAATGGAGATCAGATGACTGGGAGGATGCAATCATTGTAAAAACATATTTTTACAGTGCTGGTTGCCAAGCACTGTGGATAATTGAGATATAATTACCTTTAACAAATAAAACAGAATCACTGATTTACATGGTTGAAACAACTAAGCAGGCTTATGAAATGATAAAATGAGACCATATAACTGTAAAGTTGTGTTTTGATTTGCTTGGAAACAATTTTGATATTAGTAACGTAATGGTCTTATATAATTAATTTAGTTATCGTGGAGTTGAGGCAGATTAGCATGACATTATTATTTATTCTTTGAGAATTACCAGAATTATCAGTACGTAGCTTATCTTTCTTAATGGTAGCTGTGACTAATAAAATTTTGGCTTGCAAAGTTGTCCCTCATTTGCAAATCTGAGGTTTCATGGAAGAATGTGAGCATCTTGCGGTAAAACTGAACTTATGCATATTTGTGCATCATTTATGAATTTATGCACATTGGCAAAGACTGAGTATGAATATGCATGTGACACAGAGACCCGTTTCATTCATGCAAGGATTCATACAGAGATAGTGTTGCTTTAACTTGAGGGTAAACTGTGGAGATGGGATAGAAATGGTACCTATCTTGGTGCTTCTTGGTTTCTCAGCAGCTTTTGGTACCGTCAACTACAGAATCCTTCTGGATCACCTACAAGAATTGGAAACTGAGAGCACCCTTTTGTGACGGTTCCCTTCCTTCCTGGCCAAATCTAGTCAGTGTTGGCTGGATACAGGGGAAGTGCTCCATTCTTTTGTCAGGTGCTATAGAGCTCAATTCCCTCTCTCCATCTGTTTTACATCTATATGAAGCCTCTCCTATATGAAGATGGTGAAGATTTGGTGGGGACAGCAGGACCTATGGATGACAGGGCAGCAGTGCTTTGCAATGTGGCATTGGGGTGTTTGGCCACAGTATGGGGCTTGAGGTGATCCTCTTCGTGATGGTGGTGACATCAGCAGTGCTTGAGTTGAAGTAGGGGCTCATGGAAGGGGACAATTAACCCCAGTACTACCACTGTCGTCCCATCCCCCAGAAGTGCCACTGTACAGAGTGGCCAAAAGGGCAGAGATGGGGGAAGATATGCAAGAGGTGGGAGTTGAAGTGCCTCTGAAGTTGTGTCAAGGGGCTGCCAAGTGCTCAGATTTTATCACGTGACCATGAGAGCATTATTGTGGCCATAACTTCAGGCATAAGTACAAGTTGTATAACACTGCTGTATGTTTGATTGGTTGCTGAATAAATTATCATTCATTGCGGACTAGCACTCTTATCATATTATTATATGGAGTAAATGTGAAATGACAAGCCACTCATTTTGTCTTTATTTGGGAAAGTAAGTAAAACCTCTTTCATATAACAAAATGATTGCATATTGTGTATGCATGCCTGTGTCTGCATTTTCATTTTTGTTTTTTCAGAATTGTTTCAGCCTAAATGATATTAAAAAATAATCATGTTTTTTTTCTTTTTCTTCTCTACAGTATGCTGTCTGGCTAATCCTCTGGGTTACATGGAACATATTTGTTATCTGCTTCTACTTGGAAGCTGGAGACCTATCAAAGGTAATTCACTGCCTGATAAGCTAAATCATCTGATGTTTACCTCTCCGGTTTTAAAGACATTTGCTCTTATATACTTAAAATCTGCTCATTTCTTTAGTAACCTTGGAAATGAGGACTATCAAGGTTGCCTCAGCAGTGCATGCCTTAAATCACTGACAAAATATTATCAGTATAAAATATACATCTAGGAGGACAACTTCTAATGAGGATAGTAAATGGGCTAAGATTTCCAAAGACTAATTTATATAATGTTAATTTCATACTTGGGAATATCATAACTGGTCAGATGCTTTTAAATATGATGCATATTGTTGCCTTTTTCTTGTTCATTGAGTTGTGGATTTGGTATAGAAGTATGCATATTCAAAATAATTTTGCTAATTAGTGAAAAAAGGACAAGATAACTGGCACAGCAAATGTTTTGTAATTTTGTTTCCTTTTTAGCAATATATCGAAAGATTGAATTATTTTGTTTATACTTTTAAGTGATTTCAGCATCTTTACTTCCATACACATACTTCCACACATCTTGGGCAAGAGTGCAAAAAAACCCTATCTTTTTATGTATTATTTTTATGCCATCTTTATTCTGAATAAGGTGGTGTTCATAGTTTAACAGAACAGAATAACAGAGTTGGAAGGGAGTTGGCTTGTGATGTAGAACTCTTCCTACCAAGTGCATAGAACATAGAATAATAGGGTTGGAATGGACGAAGTTTTTCTAGTTCAACATCCTGCTCAAACAGGAGACCCTATACCATTTTGGACAACTGATTGTCTAATGTCCTCTTAAAAGCCTCCTTCTGGAGGCAAGCTGTTCCACTGATGAATTGTTCTCACAGTTAGGAGATATCTCCTTAGTTCTAGGTTGCTTCTCTCCTTGATTAGTTTCTATCCATTGTTTCTTGTCCTTCCTTCAGGTGCTTTGGAGAATAGGTCGAGCCCCCTCTTCTTTATGGCAACCCTTAGATATTGGAACCCCTAATCCTTCTTTTCATTAAACTAGACATACCCAATTCCTGCAGCTGTTCTTCACATGTTTTAATTTCTAGTCCCCTAATCATAGTGCTCCATTTTCTTTTCCCCACAATACTATGAGGCGGGTTGCACTGAGAAAATGGCTGGCCCAAAGACATCCAGCTAGCTGCCATGTCTATGGAGGACTAGAAGTCAATTGTGTACTCATACAGATCTAGCAATAGTTATCTGAGAAGTCCTGCCTTCCTATAAATGTGGATGGATGGATGGATAGATGGAACGAGGGAGAGAGGGAACTCAACGGGGAAGCCAGTATGACTCAAGAAGTTGCTTCCCATTCCCACTTAATTTGTTCACTGTAATCATTGTTTCTCTGCTTAGAAATGACTTGATTGTCTTCATAGTCTTCAGTCGCATGCTTTTATTTAATTTTGTGTGTGGTTTAATAATACTTAATGCAGTTCATTAAAAGGACAGAACAGACAAGGTTGGACACAAACAAAAATGATAAGAGTTTGAAATAGACTGATCCATCTATTCTCACTCAGACCATGTGGAAAAGATATACCCTGATATTGAAAACATAAGAGATGGATTCAGAGTGCCTGAAAAAAATGTCTATTGGTGGCCCAGTATATTTTGGATTAAGTTCTTTGTCAAGGAGATTATAAATGAAGAAATTTTTATTAAAATGTTTGATTTTACTGTAAATTGTTTTTTGCCAAACTATTTAAACAATAAACATTTTGCCTTTTCTTTGGAACTCATTTTCCCTGCTTTTGATTCTACTATTGTTCAGTGGAATATGTGAATTGCTTCAAAACCACATAGAATTCGTGCTTTTTCTGTTTATTTTGTTTCATTCAAATTGGCCTCCAGGTCACCTAATTTTTCACCAGATCATTAGAGAAGAGTTTATCTTTCTCATGAAGAAATGTAGCAGTGATTGCAAACAATGGAAGCTCAGTATTTCAAAACAAAGTAGAACATTTAAAAAACTTACTATATTGATCTGAGTGTTTTCTTTCCAAGATGACAAAGAATCACTATTATTTTTAATCATAGCAAAATGAAATAAACTGGCAATTGCTTCATTCTGATCCACCTTCATCTTTAAGGCCATGTATAACATATACCAGTGTAAAGGTAAAGGTACATCTCGCACGTAAGTGCTAGTCATTTCTGACTCTAGGGGGTGGTGCTCATCTCCGGTACAAAGCCAAAGATCCAGCACTGTCCAAAGACATCTCTGTGGTCATGTGGCCAGCATGACTAAATGCCGAAGGTGCACGGAACTCTGTTACCTTCTCATGAAAGTGGTCCCTATTTTTCGATTTGCATTTTTACACGCTTTCGAACTGCTAGGTTGGTAGAAGCTGGGACAAATAATGGAAGCTCACTCTGTTACACAGCGCTAGGGATTCAAACCGCCAAACTGCCGACCTTTCTTCTCAACAAGCTCAGTGTCTTAGCCACTGAGCCACCGTGTCCCACACCTATATACCATTCTATACCATTCTATAGAAATTATTTTAAAGTTTTTTTGTGAGCTGGCTGTCAGAAATCAAACGATTTTCCCTCTGATATTTAAAATCTTTCTCTGTTGGAAAGTGTGTGTGAGAGACGGAGGGAGTGGGTTGGAGATGATGGTATGGGAAAAAGTACTCATTTGTGTGGTGAATTAATCCATACAAACAATGCCGATCTCAGAGACTGCCAGCATGGGAAGCCACAGCTTTCATGTGGTGACCACATAATGGGCAATGTTTCTAAAACGGATATATATTGTCTAGAATTTTGCCTGTGTAGCAGTATGAAAAAAACACTAGATACAGCATGAATTGTTTGTGGTTCCTGCAGGGAATCTAGAGGTGCTTAAGGAGCCATATCCTTTGCTTCTGGCTTGGAAAAAAAAGAATTGCTATCATCTGCACATTTTCTGAAAAATACTTTCACAAATAAAAAGTCTAAAAGTTTGATGTGAAAATAGACTCAGTTTAGATTTTGTAAGATTTAATTCAATTAGCATGAATTACTGTATTCTAATACCATGTTTAAGTGAATTTGAGGAGCTTCTGTTTCCCCATCACTATTGATTCTTTTGTGATGCCCCCAAACTGTGAGATTTGTAACGAATTGGCTGGAAATTCCCTACTGTGTGGTATTCCCTTCAATAGTCTCTTGTGTCACACTTATCTAAGATACCTTTGAAGCTGCTGTGATATATCCACATCATGTGCTGCTCATCACCAATTGCTACTACTAATGCATCCCAAGTCATAGAAGGTCTAAGCATTGAGTCAGTTCATGATAGTAATCACAGAAAAAGTACTATGACCCAACTGCAGATCATCAACTTTTTGAGAATAAATTGTTAGATGAAAGTTGTAAATTTGTTCCATCTTTTTAACAGGATTGAAGTATAAATTTAATCACTTTGGAATTATCAGAAATACTTGGAATGTAGACAAATTGATGGATACTTTCACAGAATGGCTGACATCAATTAACTATGTTTCTCTGAAATAACTGTGTATACTTGCCTAAGAACCTGAATAGATAACAGATAGGGGAAAAAGATTTTGACTTATGAATAGTAAGAGACAAATACAATCTTTCTTAAAGTTCACACCCAACACATGTACACTCATTCAACGCAATACTCATGACCACTTGATATATTTGATTACAGTATTCTATGAGCATCATTAAAGATCACACGCTCTAAAAACAACTTCACTGTTTTCTTTAACAGAAAGTTCAAGTAGTCTTGAATGATCAAATGAGATTTGAGGTTGTCCCACTGTTTTGGTTTGTGTTTTTTTCTTTTCATTATTTGAATGTTTCCCTGAAAATAAATATGACAGCATGGTTAAATGCACTCTTGGGAAATTCTTCGCGCAAGAAAAAGAATATTGAACCTTGTTTGAAAAGGCTATTGTTGTGAAATAACTGTAAATAGAGAATAAAATGTGACCTTGGGGAATCTCTGGACTATTCCTATGTTACATCAGGGACATAGTTCAGGTTGTAAAGCATGAGAGATAATCTTCCACAAAATAATTTTAGGAATCTCTGTGTTAAAAATATAGCTTAATAATTGCCCCGTTGGGAATATATTATATTCTCTGTATGTAAAATATACCTTTCTTCCCTACGAAAAGCTATTTCACCTGAGAAGGAAGTAGTTATGAGTCTTATTTTCCTCTTGCTTATCTGCAACTGATTTTCTGTCATTACTTGCCCGATCAAGATAGCATTTTCCAAGCTATTGCTCTATTCCCTGTGAGAAAATTTACTAATGGCTCTTTCTCCTCCTCCCATGTCACAAAGGTTGTGACACTTTTACAGCAGCTCTTTACCAAAGTCAAAGAGCTTGATAACAATAATGGGGTATTCAGAATGATGAGATTAGTAGCTCCTGCCAATGAGTTGCTCTCCTTGCATTAGAACCTGAGATAGATAAATAATGCTAAGTTTGGCAGTGGACTTAGGAAATTTTGGGCCATTGTGTCATTGTTAATGTCTTCCCCATGATAGCATGGCTTTCACAGCTTATCAAAATTATTACAAGCAGTTGCCAGGTAACAAAAAGGACAAAAGTTACAGTTTAGAAAAGCTGCCATGTATGGAATATTTTCTGTTGGGAGTACAAATTACATAGAGCTCATGCTATTACGCAGATGCTTTTAAATAATATTATGTTGGCAAGAAAAATTATATTATATGCTTTCTTAGTAGAGGTTGATTACTTTCTTTTTTTAGAAATTAAGCTGTAATTTACTTCAGATTCACAGTCTCTTAGGTCACTGGAAGTACATCTGGTGTCCTTGCTTCTAAGAACACTTAGTAGCACAGAATGTTTGCATGAAATTTTAATTTTTCAATTATCACCTTGAACTAAGGTGAGTTAGAAATACCGGCAGAGGAGGAATATTGGTTGTGATATCCCTGAGTATAAGGTTAAATAAAATATGCCCTTTTACTTTAGCATCACATTAAACTTTGCCCTGGAATCAAGA